GTTTTACTGAACTTTAACTATGACCAAAACCAGTTTTAAACACTGGTCTTCTATGGTGAGACTTCTACACCAGATTGTCATGCTCTGTACCTGATCTCTCTCTCAACTCCAGTCTTGTAAAAGAGTTTTTGACCCAGCTCGTCTATGCTGTCCTAGGTCTGTTTATCCCTGACTCTACACAGGCAGCTGGTAGGTCCTTAGCTAAACAATTTACAGCACACTGAAGTACTAAGTACCTCTAATTTTTGGGGGATGCCTCTTAAAAACAATCTTGTTCAGGGATCTCAATTTCTTATTTAGGATGAAAAGTCTTCAAAGGCCAAAGTAAATGATATTTTAGCAGAGATATTTAAGAAAATTGGCTCCAAGGAGAACACTAAAGAGGTGAGTGCTTTCTTACAATAGGATGAAGGGGACGGTGGTGTATGCTGCAGTTTGGGTAACACATGGAAACTTTCCACCTTTCCCAGGGTCTGGCAGAACTGTATGAATACAAGAAGAAGTATTCTGATGCAGATATCGAGCCCTTTCTGAAAAACTCATCTCAGTTCTTCCAGAGTTATGTGGAACGAGGCCTCCGCCTCATTGAGATGGAAAGGGAGGGCAAAGGACGCATTCCTTCATCTACAGGTATAGAGTTTGGCAATGGAAGTGAATTGGTCTAGCAACATGGCATCTTGAATCTAGCTACAATGGGGCAATTCTAGCTGCTCCCTTTTAAGTGCTATTATGTTTGAGACCTTTATGGACTTCCAAATGATCCCCTTATTCTCTGAGCACTTGTTAGTTGCACATTCATGAAAGTTACTATGGCACCTGTTGCGAAGACCACTCATGCTTTGCCACTAACAGGGAAAGTGCTGTGGTCACCTTACCAAACTAACTGTGAAGGATATAGAGATGAAAGTTCTGAAAAGACTTCAGTGCACGTCATGCTGGTCATACTTAGAGAAGTGCCCCTCCTAAAATAATTCAAAACCTTTTTCTCTAATGGAGTGCAGTACTCAGGAGTCCTATGTCAAAGGCCTGGCAATTGAGTGATTCTTGTTGCTGCTAGTAACTTAGTCTGAAGCTCTCCCTATCCTTAGTTCGGCTTCCTTGGTGAAACATACTATCTAGACATCACAGCTGCAAAATCCTCTCTTCTTTTAGGGCCACTAAAATAGTGTCCTAGGATCTTTGCACAAAACTGTCAGACTGAAGCAAGACACAAACTTCATATATTTCACATCAACACAGCTGACACAAGACACAGCTTTCCTTCTAATTTCCCCACTCTTGGCTAGGAATAATCTGGCAACTCTTAATAGGAGCAGTGTCTTGTCAGGTAACCTGCAAGTCACCCTGTAGATGTTCAGGAAGCTAGAGGTCTGTCACAGTTCTTCATTCAGAACTTAAGCACCATAGAGGCCTGCTTAAACTTGTGTACTAGGTCTTTGCTCCCATAAATTCTGAACTTGCTCAGTGAAGTTTCAGTAGAACAGAACTCAAAAATTTGTCCATAAGCGCGCACTAGTAAATAAGAAAATGCAACATAATTAAATCAGATCACACTAGTGAATAATGAAACAGCAGAAGAATAGCTATTTGCAGTAAGGGACACATAGACAGGCACTTATGCTTATTCTTCTGCTGCTCCTGAAAGATCCAATTCTGTGCCTATATTGAGGTCTTCCTCATTGATCCCTTCCCCCAAAGTTGTGTGACAAATTACTTTCAAAGGAGGAGTGACTGAGTTTCTCAACCTCTGAAATATTGCTGGTAATGCAGAAGTAACTTCTGTCCCTACCTCGAAAATTTTGCGGACAAAAGATGACATGTTGTCTAGTTACCTCCACAGTGTAGACTTCCAAACAGCATTTTTCACATTGCTTTGCTTTGATAAAGAAGCAAGAAGTTCCTTTTAGCCTTTATTTCCTATGGGTGGGTAGAGCATTGTACCTAAACTTCCTCCATTTTTAAAGGTTCAAGGCCACCCTCTGCCTCAGTCTCCTCTTAGTTTCTCTATTCCATAAAGAGCACTTATCATTATTTTGATAATCCTGTCTTATGCATGGAGGCTAGAGGGAAAAGGGGATCTTTGGAGACTTTCTTTCACTGCTTTCAACTGCATGAAGAGGAATTGGGAGCAGTGCACTTAAGTTTCATGAATAAGATCCCTGGGTGGTTTGATCAATTGAGGAATTCCTCAGTCCTCTCGGGGTTCCTTTAACTTGGCTTGCTGCACTATAGAACAAAGGATAAATATCAAATCCTTTACTTGATAATGTCAGTTTACCATTTGATATTATGACTGCACATGTCCCAAAGTAGCTTTTTCAGTTGTTTCAAATAATGGCCAGAACATGTTGGCTTTTGGAGCTGCCAATGGGACTTACTTATGGGACTTCCAAGAGCAGAGTGGTTTGTTTCAAACTGTAGATTGTTTGGATATTACATGAATCTCGGAGGCTTACACATGTTGTTTTTCCCCTTTCCTAGGAATTTCTCCTCAGGAGGTAACATGTGTCCCCACTTCCACAAACACAGTGTCTGCATCCACAGGAAACACAAATGGGGAGGAGGTGGGGCCTTCAGTCTACCTGGAAAGGCTAAAAATCCTCAGGCAGCGTTGTGGCCTTGACAATGCAAAGGTATTGTACTTCTGAAGACTCCTATAAAGCCTACAAAGGAAGTGGTGCACTTCGAGTGAGATCTGTAATGTAGTGCTCAGACTGTGAACCCTATGAGTCTAGCTGCATGTTCTTGTCATCTTATTGCAAGTCATCTTTCCCACTCTAAATGGCTTTAAAGCTGTTACCTGACTGAATAGACTTATTAGTGCTTCAGCTTCCTTTTTGCTGCACTGATGTAGTCACCACAAGCTGGTACAATGTGGAGTCTTTTTTCTTGCCAGGTAATTGAGAGTTTCAGGAAAAGGCTAAATGACTTAACTTGAATTGCTCCTCTCCAAAGGGTAATGCCTATATTAAGAGATGCTCCTGGGTCACATGTCATTGAGTGCTCTAAACTTCTGTATCCTTCCACTCTACAACTAAACGCTGCATGAATGGAAGTTGTGTGGCTGGGCTATATGGGATTCTGAGATCACAGTAATGCTGAATGTACTCAGTATGTTAAAACCGGATTCTGTAGAATGGGTCAAATCTTCAAGACATCAAGTGTTCTCTGGGAATCTTATTTACTCATTGAAAGATGGTGACTGCCAACCATGTTAAACATACAGGTGATTCCAGGAATAGCCACAAGGATTAGGGGGTAAGAATATAGCTACAAGACTACTGTGATGTTTTAAGATGGGACGTATGCATCAGTTTACAGCTGAGTGCAAAATGGCATATGGTACAGATGTAAACTCAGTTCTGTCAGACTTGTGAAGCTTCAGGTTCCCAGAAGAGCAGAGGTTTTGACTTTGCAGCATCTGATGGTGGTAGAATCCTGTAAGGAAATCTCCAGGTTTCCTTTCTGCTCAATTACTTCAGAATTCCCCACTTAGTCCTCATAATGCCATGTGTGTGAGCAGCCTCTGCCTACACAGTTTAAATACAGGTGGAGACTGGCAGGCCTTCCCAATGAAATGGAAATTGATTTTTTTTCACACACCCTCTGAAGAGAATGAGGTAGTGTGAGATGATGGATTTTGTGTTCTATCCTAAGTAACAAGGAGCAGTACAAAAACTATTGGTGTCCCCAATAGTGCAGACCTTTGGCTCCTTTAGGATGGGAAATTTCTTTGAGACAAGAAGCAGTAAGTGATGATCAAATATGGCTAATGTGACCTAATTAGGACCAGGTATTTGGAAAACTTGTTAGATACAGCTGATTCAGAAGACTCATGCTTGCGTGTGATTCACTCTGGTCACCACTAACAGAATGGTGGCCATGTAGTTCCACGTAGCTAATGCACCATGCAATAGTTTACATATAATTTGTCCTGAAAATAGAGGAGTTGGAGTGTACACATTGTTTGCAAGACTGAGAACCAGACAATGGTAAATAGTGTTCCAAAAAAGCTGCTTTATCATTTCAGCCTACTAATGTGGGACTGCACTTTCTCTTCCTCTGTTCAGCATGTTCCCCCTGAGGGTGAGACACCATGTATTATGGTGTAGATGACTTGCGCACCTTTTGCCTGTCTTAAATATCTCACTTTTCCTATCCCGCAGCAGGAAGACAGACCAGCATTGCCGTCACTACTCTCCAAACCAGCAGCCCCCACAGTTGCATCCTCCACAGATATGCTGCACAGTAAGCTCTCTCAGCTCCGTGAGTCACGGGAGCACTACCAGCATTTGGACCTGGACTCCAATCAGACTCACTCCTCTGGCACTGGAACCACCTCTTCCTCCTCCACAGCAACCAATATTGATGACTTGAAAAAAAGACTGGAGAGAATAAAAAGCAGTCGCAAATGAAGTTGCTTGAGTGCAAGTATGGCTGCTGCTTAGCTGTCTTCAGCTTTAGTTTTACTAAACTAGAAGTCTTCATAGTTAAAGGGGCCTCATTTAGGCCTAGTGTATACAAACTGGTTTATGTATAATACAGTGGATTTTGGGGGATGATCTGAGTCATTGTGGCACAAGCATCTGTACATACTCTGCTTCTCAGTGAGCATCTCTTGATAATAGAAGACTGTGTATTAGTTGTAGTGTACAGACCTGTAAACAGCCATTGTCCTGCTCAGACTAGCTTCTTATATCTTGTTTTTTATTTGTAAAGTTGTCTTAAGATCTTTTCCTAGCTCCTAACTATTAGAAGCTCTTCAGTGCTTTTAATTTTGTGAATTCTTCTCCATGTAATCCTTGAACTGTTGATTCTGTATGGATGCATGGCATGGAGTAACTAATTTAAGTGTCTTTTGTAAATAAAGTTTGCATTAACTATACTAGTCCCTGTAGGAGCAGCGGTGACTGTCCATGGAGATAGAAGCCACTGTGTCTTGGATGCTAAAAATAGGTATTTGAGCTGAAATCAGTTGCTCGAGCTAAATACAATAATGGACTGTTCTGACTGCAGCTTCTATTAATGGAAGGGAACCCTGGACTTTTCAGCCTTTTATTTCTGCCAGCAGTATTGTTGCTGCAGTAGTATATGGCTGTCTTCAACTTCTTCCTAAGAACATCAGGAAGCAAAAGAAATTACTAGACATCTGTAGGTCAATCGAGCAAATTCATGTAATAGATCTGTAAAGTCACTACCAGGAGCAAGTGTTAGGCCCTAGTGTGAGTGCAGTACTCCCTTCAAAAGAGGTTACTGGATAAAAATGTTCTTAAAGTAGGTAAGCAATATCCCGTGTTTAAAATAGTCTGACCTGAGCATCAAAGGTTATGCTGTTCTCACAACTGTACAGATGCAAGTGTATCCCAGCCTGTAGAACCACCATTGCAATTATAAGAATCTGCTTAGGTAATAGCTTGCTAAAATCAGAATATAATCTGTGGTAATACAAGTTTTTGGAGTTGTTGCTGTTGGTTGGGGTTAGAAAGTAGCCAGTGGAAATATCTTCTACTTCCCCCAAAAAATCCTTGAGCATAAATTTAAGTTTTTGGAGTTGTTGCTGTTGGTTGGGGTTAGAAAGTAGCCAGTGGAAATACCTTCTACTTCTCCCAAAAAATCCTTTAGCATAAATTTGCCCCTTTGCCTGCTTGCCATTTATTGTTATACTTGTATTCATCACATTTGTTATGGACTATAGCTTGCTTGTGTTCCTGAGCTGCATCCTGTGAGCTTCATGACACAGAGGGTTTCTGTAGTATATTCCTACTCTAGGTTGATCTTTCCTCTCTCAGGCTACTGCTTCATAGAGGGTTTCTGTAGTATATTCCTACTCCAGGTTGATCTTTCCTCTCAGGCTACTGCTTCAGGGTCTGTTTTTTCTAAGCCAGCAGTTCCTACCATGGGGTGGTATTGGACTAATCTTGGCTGAATTTTAAGGCAGTTGTGATAAATGTAGTTTGAATCATTACCTTCTATACATCAGTTCTGTGCTACGGCTTCTGGAACTCTCCTACAGAAATGATAGGACAGGAGTTCTAATGAGGCAGTAGCCTGCTAGTTGGTGCTATAGGAAGTCTGTGATATGGAGGGAATCTCCATCATATGTTACAATGGTCAGCTGGTGTCCATCACTTTCCACCCCTCTTCTATTCTTTCTAGGCTCTTTGTCCAGTTCTTTTGAAAAAGTTCTAACTACAGTGTGGCTGTGTAGCTCTCTACAGTGAATAGGGCATGACAGAGAACTCAAACTGCAACTTGGGCTATTCATTGACAGGGTTTAACTGAATAGCTTGTGGGTGTTTGGTACTGGAGCCACTGCTGCTACTCAACTAGATGTGTTCTAATAAGTTGCTAGTTACTTTCTAGGTTGGTCTGCCTTTTGCAAAAAAAAAGTCTCTAAAAGCAGCTGACTCATTTCTACTGTAATTACGATGTTGTAAAATGCTGCATCCTTTGTAATTGCTAATAGGTGCAGTAGTGAGTGAAGTAAAAGGAATGCTTGTGAACTTGTACAATACTACCTTACATTTTAAGTTAAGTGCAGAAGCACTTGTACAATACTACCTTACATTTTAAGTTATTTGGAAGTTAAGTGCAGAAGCAATATGGGTTTCTGCCATTAATATTTAATTAAGACTTTTGTCGTATGCTGTTTCTGCACTAGTTTATTCTTGTCTAATGGTGTATGGTTGGCCCCAGGAATTACTTGGAAGGTAAAATTTAGGCTGTTAATTAAGAATTAATCAAGTTAGTGCAAATATTGCCATCTTATTTAGATTACACACTTGTTTTGAAAGTCAGCCTTTAAAATTAAATCACTAGCTGGCATGAAACTAGTCTGTTGCCTCATTTTCCTCAACTGTTACACTAAGTACATTAGAATAGGCAACTGTTTTCAGAGTCAGGACACTTGTAACCAGAAGCCATTACAGTTTATAAAAACAAGCACTTGATATCCCTTTATGTTCTTGTGGAATTTCAGAGTTTTCCCTTATTCCAGAGGGTACTGCTCTCAGCCTTGTCACACCAGTGAACCTGTGGGCCATCTATACTATATGAATGGCTTTTAGATTATGGAGGAGAGGAGAGGAAGTCTAGCCGCCTCCTATTCTCATGGGTTTAATTACATCCTAGAAGTTCAGACAAACTAGATTAATTTCTTACTAACCTACCTCTTTTTTTAAATATGCAGTCTTCCATCCAGCACCAGTATTTCCAGACTCAGTTGACAAAGTGAACAGTAGTTTTTGGCATGTGTGGTAGGGTGCAAAGTACTTTAGAAGCACATGGTTTCTCTAGGAAATAGCCCCAGCACCTTAACTGACATTCTTCAACTATTTTGTTTAACATTAGATACTGTTATTTCCCCTCAGCAAATCGGTGTTGAACTTAGCTTTCCTTTCAGGGACAGTGGTGTAGGTCAAGAGCCTACCACTTGCTATGGGTGAGGTGGTATGCCTCTAGTAGCATTTTAACAGCCCTGTTACAGCAATTTAGTGTTGCCTTTGCTTGAGGGGAACCTTTTTTGAGGTGGGGGGAGGGGTCCTGCTGACCTATGGAAAAAATCAGTTGTGCTTCTCACTTAAGTACAGCCCCCCAACCCTCTCCTGCCACTGATGTAGCCTCTGCCTGAGAGGAGAGACTTCCCACACTCCCTCACATATCAGGCTTGTGTGCGCCAGTCCCTCAGTAGATATGGGCTCCCTAGTGCTAGGAGGGGAGCCTTGAGCCAGATCCAGGCAAGCTGGGGAATCACTACCCCTGTCTTTGCTGAAGGTTCAACTTATTTCTTAGCAGCACATATCAAGTCTCTTGGTTTGTAACTTTAGGCATGATCCCACATTTATAGAAGCTATGACTGACTTCTAGGAGGAAGGACAAAGACTGCATAGTGTTATTTTAACTTTGCACCTTTGTAATAAGTATGTTAATGCTAGCATGCTGGGGGCAAGTTGGTCTCTCAGCACTGCCAAAATAGAAAGCAGGCACAATCCCAGCTACAATCACTTTATTAATGTTTCCAGAGAATACCTCTAGCCATTTTTGATTCCTTAGGGTTCATCTTGCTAACAAAGCAGATATGAGAGGTAACTGATGCTTGCTTTATTGTCCATATTTGTTGATGGTTTTTAGCATCCATTTCTTCAAGCGGAATACATGTGTGTAAAATCCATATTTACCATCACGATCACAGCCTTCTCCCCATGAGACGATCCCCACCTGATACCAACGGTTAGTTGTTGGGCTCTTAGACAGAAAGGAAAATAAATTAGTATGCTATACCTAGTGTTAATCATAAGAGCAGCAACAGTGTAATTCTTCTTGTCCAGCTGGAGGTCCAGGTTGGCTGTGGCAAGACAGAAGTGAGTTCTAGTATAGTACTAGGCTCCAGCAAATAAGCACCTGCTAAAGTGTATCTACAGTAGTGGGGTATCCAACCATAACATCTCCCTGAGCAGAGACACTGTTCTTGTTGCACATACCTTCATGACAAAAGGGCCTCCGCTGTCCCCCTCACATGCATCCCCTCTCTTGGCAGCATCAGGACTGTACCCTACAGGAGAAGAGGCAAAGAGTACCTGGTAAGAGGGAAGGGACTATTTTCTCTAAAAGGTATAAAATGAAGGTAATGTTGATACTTTTCAAACTTTCTATGGTTAGCAACATTGTGACCTTACCCACAAACAAACAGCCCCTTACAGAAAGGCTGAGTATGCCAAAACTACAGCCTTACATGATTTGTTTCCATTTAAAAGCTCAAACAGTGCTTCTTTGATAACCCAGGGAAGAGATGGCATCATAGCAGTACTGGAAAAGGAAGGTTAATACACTGCCCAAGATTTTCCATCCTACAAGTTTGGCCTGGAATATTACAGGTTATAAATCCTCTAAATTCTAGTTTTTTCTTTCATGCATTTAACCTACACCTGTGATATAGGATCCAGTTGCCCTTAGTAAGAGCAGCCCTAGCCTTGACAACTCTGTAGGCCCTAGGAGGTAGAGTCTCTGCTGTTCTCAGCTGATTTCTTTCTACTTTAGCAGCATCACCCCTCCTGGAGTTCTGGAACAACCTCTATTTTCATTACCCCCCCTGTGGTGCCCTCAGCCATGCAAGTTAGGTGAAGCACTGTGTATTACAGTGTAGGCTGGCTCTGCCAATCATTTAATTACTCATTATCCTGGTTGTAGTTAGTGGTCAAAACCTAAATCCTCAGAATCCCCTAATACTCAAACTCAGCTCCTTCTGTAAATTTAAATAGCCAGAGGGGAGAATTCCAAGCCCCCTTCTGTCTCATCCCATAGCCAGCTGATCTCCCAGAGCCTTATTATGCCCTTAAGTTCTTCATTCCCCTACATGGACTGGGAATTTCAGAGGCTTGTTCATGCCCTAGGGATGCTAGGGTATGTCTACATTGGCAAGATTTTGCGCAAAACTTTGCCGCCTGTCTACACTGGCTGTGAGTTCTTGTGCAAGAACTATGATGCTCCCACTCAGGAATAAGCCCTCTTGCGCAAGTGGCCAGACAGGCAACATGAATTTCTTGCATTAGAAAGCCCGATGGCTAAAATAGCCAGTGGAGCTTTCTTGTGCAAAAGAGCATCTACACTGGCACAGATGCTTTTGCGCAAATACTTTAACATAAGAACTCTTGCGTTAAAGAGCATTTGTGCAAGATCATGCCACTGTAGACATACCCCTATTGTTTTAGGATAGATCAAAGTTTACTAAGCAGTAATTAGACTGAGTGAGCCCTTGTGTTATGGCACATGGTACAAAGAGCCTCTTTAGCACATGACCCATTCATCACTTGCCCCCCATGCACAGCAGGTTGGTGTGGGCTATGAGGAGCTCTTACCTGCACAGAACATGTTGTCAGTGATTTTGATGTTAGTGGATGCCTTGCAGGTATCCTGGCTGACTATGGGAAGATTCACCTGTTGTAGAATCGAGGGCAAGGAGGCTGTGCCAGAGCCCCAGGTCTCATACAAATTTCCCCATCCAGACACCCGCCCTTTGAATCCTGTCAACATCAGGCTATAGAAAGAAGCAAAGTTAAAGCATGTGGAAATGTGTCACCCCTATAATCTAGCACTGTCCAGACTCTGGAGGGGCCTCTCACCACACTCCCTTATTACAAACCAGCATAATAAGTCATCCTGCTTTTTGCTAGGGCTTTCCCAATTCTTCATATGAACCCAAAGGAGACAGTTGCAGCCACTCTGCCAGGGGTTCTGAGGCTGCTTTCTCTTTCCCTCCAGCCTCCTCACCTCTGCACAAGCTCCTTGGTGGGCAGGCAGACCGGGTGGATATAGTCACTCAAAACTATGGGCTTCTTCAGGAGCATCAGTGCAATGTCGCGGTCCAGGTTCTCTTTCCAGTTGTACTTGGGGTGGATGATGATTTTATCTAATAAGGCAATTTTCTCTATGTTCCGCTCATACCTGAAATGATTCCAAGAGAAGGAGACAAGTGAATCTGCAGCAGCAACTATGAGCTCTGGGGGCTGCTGCCCCTCTGGCTGGCTTGCAGCACCATCCTCACAACAAGGAAAAGGGAGCCAAACTGTCCTTCCTTTTAGTGCTGGGGCAGAGCCTCAGTGCGTGGCATCGCTACAGGAACTCACTATAAGCTGGGGAAGCACATGAGAATCCGGTTCATCACAGGGCTTCCATAATGCCAGTGACATACTTTGAGTGATTGCTCACAGGCATTCCAATCATCAGCAGACTTTTCCCTAGCAGTACCTGTCAGGTTGGCTGTAGCCCCCTTGCGGCATTGCATATATAACCCTGACAGCCTGACTCCCACTTCAGTTCCTTCCTTCCACTAGTGAGTTGTTAGAGCTTCTGATTTCTTGCTTCACAAATAGTTACTAGCATAGCAGTTTTGCTTCATAGATTCAGTTACTTTTAGAGCAGTTAGTTCAGCTGTCCACATAGTTTTGGGAGTGAAGGCCCTCTTTGGGGCCCCATTGGTGGGTCATTTTCTTAAGGGTCTGGATTGGCTTTACCCTTAGGTGAGGCAGCCATTACTGCCACGGGACTTGAACTAGTTCTCTCCCAGCTCACACCCCCTGCTTTGAGCCCCTGGCTACCTGCTCTCCAATGTACCTTTCTTACAAAGTGGCTTTCCTGGCAGTTGTTACTTCCAACAGACAGGCGTTGAGCTCCAAGCCTCCATATACTGTTTTTTTATAAGGATAAGGTGCAGCTGTGGCCCTATCCTGCATTCAGTAGCATCACCTTTTCACATCAATCAGGACATTTTTCTTCCTGTTTTCCTCTCAAAACCACATGCCATAGACAGGGACATCTAGCACACCCTTGTCTTTTATATTGAGTGCACTAAACCCTTCTATGCAGCTCCGTCTCTCTTCACTGTAGACCGCATGAAGGGTCTCCCGGTCATGTCACAGCACCTGTCATCCTGGATCAGTACGTGCACCAAGCTGTGCTTTGACTTTTGGCCAAGGTGCTGGATCTGCCTACCACAGCACATTCAGCTCAGGTTCAAGCCTTGTCGGTGGCCTAACATCTCATTTCAGGACATCTGCAGGCTGGCTACCTGGTCCTCCTTACACACCTTCACAACTCATTACACCCTCACCCACCAGCCCCAGTTGTTCTTCGAGATGCACTGCTCACGCCCATTCCACACACACCTGCCTACCCTCCGTCAGACTGTTCCTGCAATAAGGAACTGAAGTGGGGTGAGGCTGGCAGGAGCATACATGCAATGCTGTGAGGTGCCACCACAGGCAGTGCGACAGCCAACCCAACAGGTACCACTAGGGAAAAGTCTGAATCGTTCATGTGGCATGCACACACATTGGAATGGATGTGAGCAACACATCTTGAAGAACAACAGTTAAAAGGTAAGTAACCGTTCTTTTCCAGACACCAGCTTTATTTTCTCAGCAAACTCATGGGGGATTCCCATCTGCTTTCCTCCCCTCCTCTATTCAAGTTCTTACTTTGCTCTCTGGTGTTTTCCAATCCGCACCAAGATGTCATCTGTGGTGAAATTCTTGTCCCAGGGTGGGTAAAAAAGGCAGTGGGCAGCAGTAAGGACCCAGCGGTCACTGATGAGGCTGGCACCACAGAGCAGCTCCTGAGGACTCTTCCTGAAAAGCATCACCTGCCTGGAATGGGAAGAGAAGGTTAGAGATTTACCCAGGGCACTGGCTGGATGCTCTTCTGGGCCTTGCAAGAACACCAGTTTTGTGTGACCAGGAAAACCTGCCTCCACTGCCAGGAGACCATGGTAGCACCAGCTCCCCGCCCCCAGCATGTCATGTCTAGGTCTTAGGACTGAGTCCTAGAACTGAACATGCGAATTCTCCTTGCAGTCCTATCTGAAGGGTACTTTCCCCATCCACCTAGCCCTGTAATCCTTGCTGTGGCCAGTAACAGAGACGTGCCTGCAGGACTGGAAGCAGTAGGATACGGATGAAAAACTGCAGCATGCTTCAGAGTTTCCATGACAGCTGTGCACTTGGCTCCAAAGGAGAGAGGGGGAGGGATGGGGAACCTACAACCTCTGCCCCTCTGTGTGCGGCTGGAGCACCAGTGCTGGCTTCTCTCACTAAGTGGAGAGCCCTGAGGCTTGTGGGCCAGATCAAAGCAAGCTGCCAGTGGGATCTGCCTGGCAGGGAGGAGGAAGTGGCTCTGCACTCTGCTCTTCTCCCTTCCCCCAGCAGTGGCAATGCAGGGAAGCTCTGTGCCTGCGCTGAATTGCAAGTTCTACCCCTGAGAATCTCAGCCAATGGGAGCAGTGGGGAGGGAGAGCAAAGACATCTGCACCTCCAGGAACTGTGCCATGTAGGTGCCACAAACCCCCACCCTCTTGCATCCTTCCCTCAGCCCATGCACCCTTCCCAAACCTCCCTCACCCAGATTTCACACCCCCCGCACCCTATCTCCTGCCCAGACCCTTCATCCCCACCTGGCTCCTGCACCATACCCTCAGCCTAGACCCTGCACCCCCACCCATCAGCCCCCTCCCACACACAGAACCCCTTCTTTTGGCCTCACAGACAGTCTAGGTTTTCCACAAAATCTACTAGCCCTAGACCCGAGAAGAATTAATCTGGACCCAGTGGGGGGGAAAGCCCTGTGCATTAACGCTGCCCCCCTGCCCGGGACTGGAGTGCGAGGGGAACCTTGGTGCCCTGAGTTGCACGAGTGAGGTGTGTATCTTTTCTGCTTATCTGCTGGGGACCACATTTGTGCTTTTGGTTTTGTTTTTTGGCTTCTCACTTGTGTGGCTCCCAACTGATTTGTGGTGTTTTTTGGCTTTTCACTTGTGTGGCCCCCAACTGATTTGTGTGGGGATCAGAGGCCTCAGACCCAAAAAAGTTTCCCCACTTCTGCTCTAGAGCCATAGTAGTGCTACTAAGTCAGACCCTCAGAAGGGGCTATGAGTAGAAGTCGGGCTGGCTGAATATGCCATGCCAACTGATAGACTCCTGATTTCCTCTTTAGAAAGGGATGACTGTAGAGAAACTGCAGCAACATTACTTACCAGGGGGCACTGCCAACTTCTGCATCTTCCCCCTTTACAATCCGGCCCCCAGCGTAGGAGTCCAACAGCTCCTGCTCACTCTTATCAGTAATCTTTTTCTTCTCAAACAGAGGACGAATGCCACAATCTGAAAAACCAGGCAGCCTGTCCCTGTTACTCTACCTGATTTGCAATGCAGGGGACCGGACCCTCTCTACAGACAACAAGCTTGATTGGAAGTATTTGGGAGCTACATGCTCAGATCATTGTTCCTTCCTCATTCTTGGAGTTACCACGTGGCCAGTCTTGATCACTCCAAACAGGCTTTTTTTGGATGAATTTGCCAGTTACCCAAAAAATACTTTGATGTGTCTGTTTTTCTTTCATGTGGGTCTAAGATTTGAATGATCACCACGATACACTGGGATAGCTAATGTTAAAAATTGTGTCCAACTAAAGATACCCCACTGTTCCCACTTCTACAGTTTAAGCAATAACAGATCAAAACTGCTGAAAGTACAGTTGTCTTCCCACCAGTATGCAGGCACACGGTGCATGTGTGAGAGGGGGTTTGAGTCACACAAAAGTGAGGAGATGTGTGGGGTATATTAAATAAAGGAAGAGCAGGCCTACTACCCCCCATTTCTCTCTCCCTCTATCCCTCCCCCCCCCAAAAAAAAATCACATCAGAAGCTGCACAGTGAATGACAATTGGCTAAATGAAACGGATTAATTGCTGTCTGGCAAAAATGTGCAGATTAAAAAAATGACTCATCAATGATGTTCTGTCTCTCAAAAAACAACAATAAATAATCTAGTAGCACCTTCAAGACTAAGAAACCATGTAGATGGTGGTATCAGCTTTTGTGGGCAAAAAAGCTGATGGCTGATGATACCATCTACATGGTTTGTTAGTCTTTAATGTGCCACTAGACTATTGTTTAAGTTTTTCCTGTTACAGACTAACTCAGCTACGCCTCTAAAGAAAGAACAAAAGCTTCTAACTCGGCTACGCCTCTGAAGCTTTTGTTCTTTCTTTAGATACTAAAAGCAGTTGTTAGGGGGGCTGCAGAGGTTCGTTGGGGCTGTCAAATGTTTTTACATTTCAGAAGCGATAACCACACTCATTCTTTCTTGTGCTTTTTGCTGGACGAGGCTGGAACTGGAAGATTCCCCAAAGCCATCACTCATGCACCTTCTTCTACAGCACTTCTTGCCCTGAATTGGGGCTGAAGCAACATTGATCTCCCCATAGAACCTCCTGCTGGGGAAAGCTGGGGCTGTTGGGCTTGGGAGCTTCCTCATAACTTGAGGCTCACTTAGGTGATCTCAGACAGAACCTAATGTAGTTTTAGCATTCACTTCTGCTTTCAGCAGTAGGCATTTAACAGGCTGGTTTTTCTAAGGAACAAGGCATTGTGGAAAGAAGCTGCAGCCTTTGCAGCACCCTTGGTGCTATGTTTGTGCCTCATAGATCCATTACTTACCTGTTTCACCTGAACCAAAAGTCTTAACATCAAAGAAGGTTTGGTGCTCTTCGGTAATGGTCCGCCCTAGTATTGCATCATCAATCTCATCCAGAGGGCTCTCTGAGAGACAGACAGACAGACAAAGATGTTGAGAAGAAAGGCTCCCTCCAGCATTTCACATAGGACTTCAGAAGTGGCACCATCCCTTCCCACACATAATGAGGTGGGTGGAAGTATTGCTTGTTAAAGCAAGACCACTGGCTAATTAAGTCTCCTACTCAACCTCTGGCCAGCAGAAGAACTAGTTGGGTGGAATATGGGGGCACATTCTGAGGGTAGCAGGACAGAGGAATGGAGTTGTTGGAATAAAGGACCCCCACAAAACAAGAGCATTCTTACATGCGTGCACCTACACTGTGTGACTCTCACATATAGCCTCCTATAACGCTGTGGCCCACCCACTCCTCACCACAGTACTGCATCCTGCTGGCCATCATGACTCTCCCACCCTGCAGCCCAAAAATCCCAATTGCAATCCCACAGCCATTGATGCTCCTCACCACAGTAGTGCAGGTCACAGTACTCAAAGGTGGTATTTGGATGATCCACATAACACCAGACACCTTCATCATCCCCATCGGGATTCCGACAATAATTCTCCACCAGCTTCACTTCCGGAAAAAAAGTAGTTGCACGCTTCTGAGCCTTTGCCTTGTCTGAGGCCCATGGCAAACACCGGATCCCAGAGGTGGTGACTGAAAGAGTCCCGTTGTAATGCAGCCCCTTGTCTGTTTCACATGGCTGCTGCGTTGTGTCTATTGGAGAGGGCCGGGGAATAAATGGAACGGTGGTCTTGTCCTGACCTGAAAAGGGAGAAATAAGGCAGCTGTTACCAGACTCATGGCCTGCAGTGGAAAATGCTGGAACGGTGTCTGGTACTGACAGATTCCAGCAGGCCCTAGAGCACTTCACTACGTCCCATCAGTCCACTGGACACTCCATCATGTCTGAGAGTCCCCACCCTGTATCCCGTGGGATACCCTACCTAGCCAAAGAGTCCCTGCCTCACCTGTGAGGCACCTGGAGACACTGCTTTGCTCAAAGTAAAAGGAAGAAGCTATCATCCCACTCCTCTGTGCCATTCCCAGATACTAATGGAACTTCACTGTGTTTGTATTTTAAAGGGAAGGCTTCCTGCAAGGCAGTTACACTGGTGCCCAAAGCTGACACACACATACACACTGGGGACCGCACATCAGATATCACAGAACACTAGAACTGGAAGGGTCCTCGAGAGGTCATCAAGTCCAGTCCCCTGCCCTCATGGCAGGACCCAGTATGGTCTAGACTATCCCAGATAGATGTCTATCTAACCTGCTCGTAAATATCTCTGGAGATGGAGATTCCACAACCTCCCTAGGCAATTTATTCCAGTGTTTAGCCACCCTGACAGTTAGGAAGTTTTTCCTAATGTCCAGCCTAAACCTCCCTTGCTGCAGTTTAAGACCGTTGCTTCTTCTCCTATCCTCAGCAGAGGCCAAGGACAACAATTTTTCTCCCTCCGCCTTGTGACACCCTTTTAGATACCTGAAAACCGCTATCATGTCCCCTCTCAGTCTTCTCCTTTCCAAACTAAACAAGCTCAATTCTTTCAGTCTTCCTTCATAGGTCATGTTCTCTAGACAGTTAATCATTCTTGTTGCTCTTCTCTGGACCTTCTCCAATTTCTCCAACCCACACTAATGCAGCAGCCTGGCAGCCTCAAGGAGGGCCCAGAGGTACCTTTGTTAATAAGCTTATGGAGAGTTACCCAAGAAACCACCTACAGTTCTGAGTTAGAGCTACCAATGAAGCACAAAATATTCTCCACAGCTCTGGATTCTATTAGTTCTATATCCTTCCTCTCAGGTCTCGCCTGGCAGCAAGTCGGGGGGAGCAAGGCTCCAGTTTCCTCAGCAGGCAGGCAGACACCAGGAGAGGTACTATGCAACAGTCACTTGGCCTCATCTTCCCTTCTTTCTCCTTGTACTGGAGCCACAGTGATGGCAGCTGCCGTGACAACAGCAGTGATATTGTAGCTACTTGAGTGAGCAGCAGCAAGGTCAATGTTACCTTCTGAGTTGTCCCTCCCTGGGCTAACTGATTTCTGCCCTGCATACGTCACTAGTGCACCTTTAGCAAAGGGAAATGGTGCCTCTCTAAAATGCTAGTCTCCGAGACTTGTAAGCAAGATGATTCCCCATGGGTCAGTAACAAGTAACCAAGTCTCCTCCAGCACAGGGGAAACAGCAGCACTTACTGACGTCATCATAGCTGGGTTATTTAAAAAATATATTCATATTCTCTTATTCCTAATGCAGTCTTGAGCGCTCCCCACATCAGCAGGGCTGAAGCCTGGCACAGCCTCTGCATATGGAAGTCAGACTGCAACTAGCAAGGTGACAACGTCAGGAAGGATAAGAATCAAAGTCAATTGATAGTGTCTGCTTCGTTTTAACTACCCAATCTTCAGATACTTACTGAATCCCTCTAGCTCCCTATCTCCCACCCTCTCCCCTCTCCTATTTATTTTGGGTCTGCACATTCTAAACTCATAACTCCGGTCATCTGAAGGAGTGGGCTGTGCCCACGAAAGCTCATGATACCACCATCTACATGTTTTGTTAGTCTAAGGTGCTACCGGACCATTTGGGTTTTTTTTCTCTGTAACAGACTAACTCAGCTACCCCCAAAGCTTACATCACATTGTGTTCAAGGAGTCTGAGGCCAGGCTGCTCTCAAGGAAGATGGCTGCCACTCTACAGGGAACTAGAATGGACACTGGGGATTGAATTTTGAACCCGAGATGATCACACACAAACTGCAGATAGGTGGTTTTGCTCTAGAACAGGGGTGGGGGAACCTTTTTTGGATTGGGGACCACTGACCCACAGAAAAAGTCAGTCAGGGGCTGCACACAAGTGAGAAACACACACACACACACCCCTCACTGATGTAGCCCCCAACTGAGAAGACAGACACTCCCCACATTCTTCTTGCACACCAGAGCCTAGGGAGCCCAAGCCTAGTAGATTTTTGTGCTTCCAGCTGCAGATGGGCTACCCAATGCGGGGGGCGGGGAGGCTGAGCCTAGGAGGCCACATCCAGACAAGCAGGGGGCTGCATCCAGCCCCCCGGGCATGAGATGTAATAGTGGAGCTGATTAACCAATTAGCAATAAGCAAAAGCTCACCAGTTAATGCAATAGACTATACACATTTCAATACCTCCCTTCCGGGCCAGTACATTTTTTAGCAGGCTTGCATCGGGCCTGGGACCTACTTCTGCTGTGGCTCTGCATTTAAAGTATATTAGGAGCCAGGCGGGCAGGCAACTGAGCTCAGTTCTGGCTCATGCCGGGTTGGGGATCTCAGACCTCTCCCAGACAGGGGCTGCTGCCACCCCGCGCTGCTGTCTCTGTATCAGAGGCAGCAGCACAAGGTGACAGGCAGCTTGGTCTGCAAGGGGAATTGGTTTTTAAACTGGCTCCCCTCGCAGACCAGCTCCCACCTGGCCCCCCGTGCTGCTGCCTCTGATACAGAGGCAATAGCGTGGAGTGGCAGGGGGCTCCTTGGGAGTGGGGCTGGAGCGTACTGTCCTAAAGGTTACTTTAAAAAAAAAAAGTAGGCAAAAATGTGACTGATAACTTTTTAAAATTCTGTGATTTAGGAGGAGTCTGACTCACAATTTATGAACTCCTGTGGTTGGCAGCAGTAATGCAGCGGCTTCAAGGCTGTAGGAGTCACAACATTACGTAGAGCAGTCAAGAATAGTAAAGACTGAGAATTTCAGAAGGACCTAACCAAGCTAGGTGAATGGAGCACAATGGGGAGCTCTATCCAGCTCCTTCCTGTGTCCGCCACCCATTGCCACAGAACCCCTCCCTCCTGCATCCTCTCTCTCCAGACCCTCCTCTGTGAGGTCCTTCATATCAGCATTAGAGCAAATTCTTCCCTTCCAGGGAGCAGGATCCCTTAGGGCCTATTTTGAGGCTCACCACAGACTGGAACTGCACACTCCTCCCGTCGCACTGTTGCGTCTCGGGTGTAGCACCAGGGGCCATTTGGGTTGTCATCTGGGTTCCTGCAGTAATTCTTAGTGAGATTTCCATTCGGATGGGTGGTGGTGTTAAACCTATGAGAAAGGAGCGATGAGGTAGCTAGCAGGATAGAGGACCCTTCCCATCAGAGTTGTGGCCTCCCCTACAACCTGGCTTCTCCAACCAGTGCTAGGATTTCATGTTTGGGGAAGAGAGTTACAGACTTACTCAGGTTTGTGAGGGAATTTGCTTGTCCAGAGCTGACATTCAATCCCCGACTTGGTGACAGAAACTGTTCCCCGATAGTTCTGCCCCCTGCCTGACACACACATTCCTGCCAAAGTCCCAACAGAGGGCAAGTCAGAAAAATGAGCCCTGCGGCACCTTAAAGAATAACGGATTTACTTGGGCATAAGCTTTCTTGAGCAAAAACCCAATTCATCAGGAAAATCAGAAACATTATTTTCTTAGAGCCCATAGGTACCAGCCTACAAATCCCTGCTTTGGGTTCTCACAAAGATGCACAGACCGACCATAAACAAACTTTACCCTTCAGGTCATCACTCCTGTACCTCAGTGCCTTGATCCGAAGCTGGGAATAGCGGTGATGACTCCTCACTAGAGCAGTGGGCAGCTGGGCATCTAGCCTATGCTACTCCAAGGGGGACTCCCAGGTTTTTAGCATGTTAATGAAGCATGCTCGGGGGTGGGGTGTCCGTATAGCAGGAGGATGTTTAAGGGCTCTGCCTTCCCCTATAAGTGCTGATCTTCCCCATGATATTGCCCATATGATGGCATCCCCACTTCTTTAGAATTTCTTCCCAAATTCTGTTTGGAGCACATTTCTGGTAACTCACCATCTCCAGCGGCTCACAAAGTCTCCAGGCCCCTCTTACCTTTCAGACACTCATCCAGAGCTGTCCTGGGATTCCTCTGGGATTCACATACTAACAAACAAGAGCAAGAGACCTGTCAGTTTGGTCAAAGGGACTCCAATGAGCAGTGTAGCTCAAGTCAGCATGGTATTGGGCAGGATAGAGCCCTGGGAAGTGTACAGCCTGTGGAACATCAAAGCGTTTATAGGACTTGAAACAACTTACCCGTGTATTTCTTCCAGAATTCACTCTGCAAAACAAATGCAAACATTTAGGAAGCAAGTAATGGAACCTCAGCCCTGCCCTAACTTCTGCAGTTGAAACCAAGGCCAGCCACTGTCTCAGTCGTTCTTGGAAAACAGGGAGCAAACCCTTGCCCTGCTGAGATCAAAGATACTGGAGAAAGTAACACTGGGTCACATGCTTTCCTGTCAAATTCTGGGGCTCTTTCCCCTACCATGGCCATGCCCCAAATGGAGGCTGTTTGACAGCAGCCCATTTCACTTCTGGCTGACCCATCTCAGCATCATCAGTTTCCAGTGGCAGATCCTCAAGCAGAATACGGCCTTGAGAGCTACCCCACTTAGGGACTAGTAGGGGACTGGAGACAAAGCAACTCGGGGAATACTTGTGGCAACGGCCTTTCCTGTGGCCAGCTATCTTCCCTCTTCATTCTGGGCTGGGGTTTCTAAGTGTACATCAGCCAGCCACAAATGCCTCTGCTTCCATCCCTGCAAGGTCAGGCACCAGTGCCAGGCCTTATCTCTGTAATTTATATTACAGTATACAATGTGCTGGCTGTGGTCTACACATATAGCAACAGACAATCTCTGGTACAGAGAACTCCTAAACTGGGAAGACAAATAACTGGCAAAGCTTGGGGGGGAAAGGAATATATCATAAGCAAAAGAGTCAGGGGCTGCTTGGTAGCCATCTTGTAGTCTTACCTACAAGATACATCGGTCCTCACTAGAAGCGTACACATTTGAGTGCACAGTAGGTTGTTGCACACTAACTGGCTTGTGCTAGGAGTTTCCTAGTGTGTATTCATGAAGTCCTGTTTCAAATAGGGTTGTCAACTTCCCAGTTGCACAAAACTGAACACCCTTGCTCCACTGCTGCCTTAGCACCCCCACCGGTCACCTGATTCCCCTGCAGCAATGAGACCCAGTGCCTGCCATCATAACCCATAGTTTAAAAACCACTGGCCTAGTTTGTACTAGGATTTACATCCTCCTGGTGTGGACTAAGGCACCTTGTAGGCAAGCTTGTAGTTTCGCTTATTTTAAATTTATATAAACCATCCCCAACTAAGGCTTAACTAGACATTTTCAGACCTGCTTTGTTCTGCTGAGTGCCCGTTATTCACATTTTAAAAGCAAATGAAAGACAATTGACCAAGCTTAGTGTAAGTGGCCTAAAAGTTAAAAGTAGGCCCATGTCCCCACAATATGCATGTGCCCCACTGGAACGAGGAGTAGCCGAGGAGCAAGCATGTATCATGTTTGCAGGATGGAGTCTTGCCTTCTTACTTGCTTGGTTATTTACATTTTTTAAATTGTTGCCTTTTTTGTTTGTAGTTCCCATCTCACAATCAGCGTTCCCTCTAAGCTGCATGGCAGCATAGCTTCCCAGGTGATTCATCAGCCCTGCCCAGTTAGAGGCTCCCTGCACAGAGCTGACTGGGTGGGGCTGATGAATCACCTGTGAAGCTGTGCTGCCCTGAAGCTTAGAGGGAAAACTGCTCCTGACTCCGCCCCACTGAGACTCTGCACAAATTGTTCTTTAACCAAGGGCTAGATCCTGTAGACTCTGACCTATTTCCAATTAATATTTTTTACAGTATTTTTGCCCTTCTCTGTATCTTAAGGTTGCCATCCCCCCAGGATTGGCTTGGAGTTTCCAGGAATTAAAGATTGTCATGTTAGAAATCTCCAGGAATATATACAACCAAAATTGGCAAGATCAGTATCAACTCAGGTTTCATTTCCTTGTACAGACCTTTCTTAGCTGTCATGTACTCTGTCCCCAACACATGCTGATTTCTACTCATCATGAAGTTCATTTTTCCCCCCACAAGTAGAACTAAACATACTCACTCTCCATCATAGACAAAGTAACCTCTTACTCCCAATCTCCACCAAGCTGTATCCTCCAGTTACAAGGATGGGGCTTTTTAGGCACTTCTGGTAAGAAGGCAAAACTCTAGAGACCATCCCTGGAATGGGGTCTGGGCTCTCTCCTTAGGGAACACACTGGACATCACCGTGACAGCCCGTGGGTGAAACCCTTCAGAAACTATGGAAGTGGTTGTACGTACCACAAGAGCGGTGGACTCAAGGGCTTCATAGGCTTCTTCGTAGCTACATTTCTCCTCTAGACACTCCCGTTCCAGGTTTCCTTTGAGCATCTCTTCCAGGAATCCTTTGTTGGCACGTCGTGGGCGCTTGAGCAGGGAAAGTGCCTGCTGCTGCCCAAGGAAAACTACCAAACCAGAACACTGACCAGTCACTTGACACAGAGCTGACAGAGAACTGTTCTTTGTGGGCTCTGCATGTCTGGTCGTGGGTCTGAATCAGTGAACATGCAGCCAGTGAGCCTCTCCTACCGCCTGACCTCTAGTGAAACACATGGGATGTCTACACAGCAAAGTTATTTCACAATAACAGCCAAACTGTTACTTCGAAATAAGTTCGAAATAGCGGAGTGCTTATTTTGAATTTGATAAACCTCATTCTACGAGGAATAATGCCAAATTCGAAATAGTCACTCCAGCCTCAACCAAGAACACTCTTCCCCCTCCCCCTCCCCCCATTCCCAGAGCCCTTAAAGGGGCAGACTCTGGCCACAGTGCCTGTGCCAGCTCCAAGCCTGCCAGCCCAGAGCCAGCAGTCACTG